TGCGACGAGGCCTACGACGACCACCCCTTCGGGTGCGCGGACGGCGCGCTCGTGAGCGACGCCTTCGGCTGCGGGGAGGGCTGCCACCGCGTCTACGAGAGCCTCATCTCCGGCGGCGACGACGCGGTCAAGGCGGCGAACTGCGACCAGCTCTGGGCCATCGAGGACCTCGTCGGCGAGAACTTCCTCGCGGAGTTCGGGGCCGTGCTCTGCGGCACGGGCGAGTTCTCGTGGGACTACCCGACGGCCGCGCCGACGCCCGCGGTGGCCTGCGGCGACGACGCGGCCTGGTTCGTGTCGGGCAAGCCGTCCCGCGGCTGCGACTGGGTCGCCGAGTCGCCCGCCGCGCGCTGCGGCAAGACGGACTCCGACGGCGAGGCCGCCGACGACGCGTGCCGGGAGACGTGCGGCACCTGCGAGACCGCGGCGCCGACGGCGGGCGCCGGGGACCCGACGGCCGCGCCCGCGCGCGCGCCGACGCCCGCGGCCGCGCCGACCCCGGCGCCAACGCAACGGCCGACCGGCTCGCCGACCCCAGCGCCGACGGCGGCGCCGTCGCCGCCGCCGAGCTCGGCTCCAGCGCCTGCGCCGACGCCTCGGCCGTCGCCAGCGCCGACGGCGCAGCCGGGCGATCCGACAGCCTCACCGGTGCTCGCGCCGACGCCGAGGCCATCGACCCTGCCAAGCTCTGCTCCAGCGCCTGCGCCGACGCCTCGGCCGTCCTCGTCCCCGAGCTCGACGCCGTCCGCTGCGCCATCCCCCTCGCCGAGAGCGGCGCCGTCCTCGTTTCCGAGCTCCTCGCCGAGCGCCACGCCGTCCGGCATGCCGTCCTCGATTCCCACAACCTTTCCGTCACAAGAATGTCCTGACTCGCGCCCGATTCTCCTACGCCGGCGCTTCTTCCCAGACGGCGCGAGCTGGGACGGTGTCACCGCGACCTACACCATCGTGGATGACACCATCGACGAGGACGGAACGACGGTCGTCGGGACGGAGAGCGGCGCGCGGGCCGACGTCTACTACACTTGCGTGCCTGATGATGGGGGCAGCTGCTGGGACACCAATTACGACTACGACGCCGCGGACGCCACCCGCAGCGAGGAGCTGTCCACGGCGGACGGGGACGCAATCGTCGTCGTTCTCGACGGGCGGACGCACTACTCGTTCTGCATCACCGATGGAAAGTTCAACAGCATGCCCACGGCCGCGCCCAGCATGTCCCTCCCGCCGTCGGCGGCGCCGTCCAGCTGCCCCAGCGCGACTCCGTCTGCGGCGCCGTCCAGCTGCCCCAGCGCGACTCCGTCGACCCCTCCGAGCGCGACGCCGTCCTCGTCCCCGAGCTCGACGCCGTCTGCCGCGCCATCGCCCTCTCCGAGCGCGACGCCGTCCTCGTCCCCGAGCTCTTCGCCGTCCGCCGCGCCGTCCGCTTCGTCGCCAGCGCCGACGGCGACGCCGGGCGATCCGACAGCCTCACCGGTGCTCGCGCCAACGCCGAGGCCATCGCCCCTGCCAAGCTCTGCTCCAGCGCCTGCGCCGACGCCTCGGCCGTCGCCAGCGCCGACGGCGACGCCGGGCGATCCGACAGCATCACCGGTTCTTTCTCCGACGCCGAGGCCGTCGCCGCTGCCGAGCTCGGCTCCAGCGCCTGCGCCGACGCCCCGGCCGTCGCCGGCGCCGACGGCCACGCCGGGCGATCCGTCCGCTGCGCCCGTTCTTTCTCCGACGCCGAGACCATCACCGGCGGCGACGGCCGCGCCGACGGCCGCCCCGACGCCGGCCCTGGCCTGCGTCGACAGTTCCGTGTGGCACAAGAGGGGCGTCCCGTCCAAGGACTGCGCCTGGGTCGCGGACTGGCCTCCGAGGTGCGACGTCGTCGGGGAGGACTTCTGCGTCGCCCACGAGGTCTGCCGCCACGCGTGCGGGAACACGAGCTCGCCGTCGGCGGCGCCGTCGCTCACGGCGGCGCCGACGTCGGGCCGGCCGTCGCCGCGGCCGTCGCGGACCGCGCGGCCGACGGAGACGGCGGCGCCGACGCCGGGCCCGACGACGGGGGCCCCGACGCCGCGGCCGTCGCCTCGGCCCAGCCCCGCGCCGACGGCGGCGCCGGGGAACCCGACGGCGGCGCCCGTCGCCGCGCCGACGCCGGCGCCGTCGGAGTGCGCGGACAGTTCGTCCTGGTACAAGAAGGGCGACCCGTCGAAGGACTGCGCGTGGGTCGCGGCCTACGCTCCCCGGTGCGGCGCGAGGGGCGAGACGACGTTCGCGTTCGCGGCCTGCCGGCTGGCGTGCGGCTGCTCCGCGCCGCCGTCGCCGGCGCCGTCGCTCACGCCGCGGCCCTCGGCCCACGGCGCCCGGGAGGACGCGACGGCGCGTCCGACGGCGGGCCCGACGGCGTACGCCGCGCGCGCCGACGCGACGTCCGCGCCGTCGCGCGCTCCCAGCGCCGACGGCGCGCGAGCGGACGCGACCGCGGCGCCCGCGCCCACGCCCGGCGATCCGTCGGCAGCGCCGACGACAGATCCCGGTGATCGTTCCTCGTCGCCCGTCGTCGCCCCTACGAGTCCGACGGCGGCGCCTCGACCGGCGCCGACGCCCGCGGCTACTCCGGCCACTCCCACGGCTTCACCGGCGTTCGCGAGCTCGTCTCCGACGCGTCGGCCAACTCCAGATCCTTCGCCGGTGCCCCCCGCGGTCGCGCCGTCGCCCGCGCCGACCGCGTCCGCCGCGCTGCTCATCGAGCCGACGGAGCTCTACGTCGTCACGGTGCGGCTCGACTTCGACGCCGACGACGTCGCGGCCTGCGGCGCCGACGCCGTCGTCGTCGGCGACTCCGATCCGCTCACGTCCGACGTCGTCCGGGACATCCTGAACCTGACGAGCCCCTCGAGCACGCTCGACGTGACGATCGCGTGCGGCGGCGCGCCCGCGGCCGGCCCCGCCCCCGCGCCGACAACGCGGGCGGCAATCCCCAGCTCGGCCGCGCCGGCGCGCGCGCCGACGTCGCCGCCGTCGGCGCGCGCGGCGGCGCCGCGGCCATCGCCGACGGTCGCGCCAGGAAATCCGACCGCGGCTCCCGCGCCGAGGCCGTCTCCCGCGCCCACGGCGACGCCAGGCAATCCGACAGCCTCACCGGTGCTCGCGCCGACGCCGAGGCCGGCGCCGCTGCCGAGCTCGGCTCCAGCGCCTGCGCCGACGCCGCGGCCATCGCCAGCACCCACGGCGACGCCGGGCAATCCGTCCGCGGCGCCGGTGCTCGCGCCGACGCCGCGGCCAACACCGCTTCCGAGCTCGGCTCCCGCGCCTGGACCGACACCGCGGCCTTCGCCAGCACCCACGGCTACGCCAGGGAATCCGACAGCAGCGCCTGTTTTCGAGCCGACGCCGAAGCCAACGCCGCTACCGTCGTTAGCCCCCGCACCCGCGCCGACGCCTCGGCCATCGCCCGCGCCGACCGCGACACCTGGAAATCCATCAGCAGCTCCCGTGTTCGCTCCGACCCCGAGGCCAACGCCGCTTCCGAGCTCGGCTCCAGCGCCTGCGCCGACGCCGAGGCCCTCGCCAGCGCCGACGGCGACGCCCGGAAACCCATCGGCAGCACCTGTTTTCGCGCCGACGCCGAGGCCAACGCCCCTGCCGAGCTCCGCTCCAGCGCCTGCGCCGACGCCCCGGCCATCGCCGGCGCCGACGGCGACGCCAGGAAACCCCACAGCATCACCGGTGCTCGCTCCGACGCCGAGGCCTACGCCCCTGCCGAGCTCGGCTCCAGCGCCTGCGCCGACGCCGAGGCCCTCGCCAGCGCCGACGGCGACGCCCGGAAACCCATCGGCAGCACCTGCTTTCGCTCCGACGCCGAGGCCATCGCCGCTGCCGAGCTCGGCTCCAGCTCCTGGGCCAACACCGCAGCCATCGCCAGCACCCACAGCCACGCCAGGAAACCCGTCCGCAGCGCCCGTTTTTTTTCCGACGCCAAGGCCGACGCCGCTTCCGAGCTCGGCTCCGGCGCCTGCGCCAACGCCGAGGCCCTCGCCAGCGCCGACGTCTACTCCAGGGAATCCGACAGCAGCACCTGTTTTCGCTCCGACGCCGAGGGCTACGCCGCTGCCGAGCTCGGCTCCAGCGCCTGCGCCGACGCCTCGGCCATCGCCAGCACCCACGGCGACGCCGGGAAACCCGTCCGCATCACCGGTGCTCGCTCCGACGCCGAGGCCAACGCCCCTGCCGAGCTCCGCTCCGGCGCCCGCGCCGACGCCCCAGCCGTCGCCGGCGCCGACGGCGACGCCAGGAAACCCGTCCGCATCACCGGTGCTCGCTCCGACGCCGAGGCCAACGCCCCTGCCGAGCTCCGCTCCGGCGCCCGCGCCGACGCCCCAGCCGTCGCCGGCGCCCACGGCGACGCCAGGAAACCCGTCCGCATCACCGGTGCTCGCTCCGACGCCGAGGCCAACGCCCCTGCCGAGCTCCGCTCCGGCGCCCGCGCCGACGCCCCGGCCATCGCCGGCGCCGACGGCGACGCCAGGAAACCCGTCCGCATCACCGGTGCTCGCTCCGACGCCGAGGCCAACGCCCCTGCCGAGCTCCGCTCCGGCGCCCGCGCCGACGCCCCGGCCATCGCCGGCGCCGACGGCGACGCCAGGAAACCCGTCAGCATCACCGGTGCTCGCTCCGACGCCGAGGCCAACGCCCCTGCCGAGCTCCGCTCCGGCGCCCGCGCCGACGCCCCGGCCATCGCCGGCGCCGACGGCGACGCCAGGAAACCCGTCCGCATCACCGGTGCTCGCTCCGACGCCGAGGCCAACGCCCCTGCCGAGCTCCGCTCCGGCGCCCGCGCCGACGCCCCGGCCATCGCCGGCGCCGACGGCGACGCCAGGAAACCCGTCAGCATCACCGGTGCTCGCTCCGACGCCGAGGCCAACGCCCCTGCCGAGCTCCGCTCCGGCGCCCGCGCCGACGCCCCAGCCGTCGCCAGCACCCACCGTGACGCCCGGAAACCCGACGGCCTCACCGGTGCTCGCGCCGACGCCCAAGCCGTTCAGCCCTTGGTGGACGCCGCGCCCGACGACGCCGTCGCCCACGGTCGCCCCCGGCAACCCGACGGCCGCGCCTGTCGCCGCGTGCGTCGAGGCGACGGCCGCGCTCTTCGAGAACGGGTCCTTCATCGGCGCCACGGCCGACGCGCCGCCGCCCGTCGTCACGTCGAACAACCTCGGCGGCGTCGGCCCGAACGCCAGCGACGCCGAGGAGCTGCGCGTCGCCGGCTACTACGCGCGGCGCTTCGAGAACGCGTCCGGCGCCGACGCGGTCGTCGTCGCGGATCTCGTCATCGTCGCGCTCGACGGCACGTACGAGTCGACGGACCCGGCCGTGAACGGCGTCTGGGGCACGGGCCGCACGGCCCTCGTCAACGTGCTGGACAACACGACGGCGAAGCTGTCCGTGTCCCTCGAGGCGACGGCGACGCGCGCGGCGATGCCCTTCACCGGCGACGCCGACGCGCTCATCATCGCCATCCTCGACGTCGACGGCCAGAAGGACGACCGGAAGCAGCGCGAGAGCGTCTGCGTCCAGGACGACGACCTCGCGGCCTACGTCGTCCGCGGCGGCGACCGCGGCGAGGTCGCCGTCGTCAAGTCGAACGCGTCGTGCGACGGGCGGACCCAGGAGCCGTCGACGACGTTCCTCTCGACGGCGCCGGGCTTCCTCTGCGACAACCCGGAGCGGATCCCGGAGCTGGGCGTCGTGACCTGCGCGGGTTGCGACCAGTGCGCCGAAAACCCGGACCTCGAGCGCTACTTCCCCGTCGACCAACGCAGCCGCGCGGTGCTCCTCGCGTTCCCCCGCGACTTGTCGACGTTCGTCGTCCACGTGGGCGTGCTCTGCGACGACTGCGTCTTCGACGGCGGCCGCACCTTCAACTTCGCCGCCGTCGTCGGGCACACGGACGGCCTCTTCTGCGCCGCGGCGGCGAAGCGGGCCGCGGGCGACGAGTCCGCGGGCTCCTGGGTCGGCGCCTGGGACGCGGACTCGTCCGACGACGAGCCCGGACGGCGGCGCCTCGCGGGCGAGGGCGCGGCGATCGAGGTCTTCGCGCGCGTCGCGGGCGACGACGTCCTGCGCCTCGCGCTGTGTGCAAATCAAATCTTCAACCCGACTTCAATGTGCGCGTACTCGAATGTTTTGACACGAGCACTTCCGCCATGCTTCGAGAACTCGCTGAGAGCAATCGATTCGTCCAAAAATCAGCCGAATCCACTTCGATTTGACCGAGCTAGAGAATTCTGAAGTTTGGCCCCGACGTCCCAGCTCACTGGTTGATTTGCACACAGGCCTCGCGGGCGGCGGCGCCGTGCGGTCCGTCGCGGCCCTCGTCGGCGACGTCGTCGCCGCGGGCCTCGAGGCGGACTACGGCGTCGACGCGGCCGCGCTGTCGGTCGCCGCCGACGACGTCGACGACACCGTCGCGCCGACGGGCGGCGGCGGCGGCGGCGGCGGCGGCGGCGACGCCGACGCGGCGTCGGGCGGCGTCTGGGCCCTCGTCGCCGTCGCCGTCGGCGCCGCGG